AATTAGGAAATGCAATTAATGGCAAAAAAGTAAGACGCAATAGCATCGTACGCCAAGAACATATACGTTAAATGACAAATAACCACCTGCTGATAATCTTGGGCATGTTCTCCGGCTTGAATATCGAGATGAACTCTGAGCTGAGCGCCACTGAACCATGCACTGCTATTCGAATACAAGCAGATCACGTGTTCGCCGGGAAGATGTGAGGTAAACGTGAATTTGCCTTCAGAAGTATACAGCTTGGAAAGTACAACCTGAACAAAATGCATCTTCTCCCTTCGACAAATAGTAACAAAATTTACTACCTTGTCCTCTGGGTCTTTTACTTCCACATGCATTCCAATATTAGGGTAATCTCCGTAACCTTTGGTGTTGGGATCATATAATTGCACTTTGTAATTTCCAGTAACCTGAATTGGATATTTTGGATCAAGAAGCTGATGGTGGTTCATGTTCAATGTTCATGAAAACCATAATAAGAAAAAGAAAGTACAGAAGGCATTAAAAGGAAGTACAAGAGAAGAAAGTTTCAACTTGCTCTAGAATTCTGACCGAGCACACCGTCTAAAGATATTACTTGATATATAATATTGCATGAATGTCAGAGAATCAGAGCAAAAGAACTTTCAAATTTCTGGAATTTCCAAAAAAAAATTAAAGCAATTGGACGCAGAATAAATTCACCATGGTTTCATCGGGGATTTCTTCAATAAAGCATTTCTTCTCCGTCTCGGCAATGTGGAAGTACAGCGCCTGGCATGCTGCCAGAACGCAGGCCAGCAGAAACAGCCGAATCAGCATGCTTGACCTGATCAAAGTCAAATTTCCAAAAAGAAGATTCGAAAAAGTTGTGCTTTCTGATGGAAACTTGGAGCGTGAATAAAAAAAACAAAAAAGAAGGAAATAAAAAGCGGCGTTTAACCCCTTGAATACCAGCCAACCAGAATAAAGCAAAATTCATGTAACTGAAAGCTTGAACAAACCAGACATGGCAACAACAGTGGGCAAGATTCATAAACATAAGTTGACTAGATTAAGTATAACGGGTAAGATCTTAACATGGCAACTGTAGAATGAAGATCTGTAATCATATTGCGACTGAAATGCACACATAATCAAAAACAAAATGCTTATTATCAGGAACAAAACTATAAAGTACTTA